GCCTTCGATCCTGGCTTCGATCGTGACTTCGATCCTGGCCCTCGACCCTGCCTTCGATCGTGGCTTCGATCCTGGGCTCGATCATGGCCCTCTTCAGGGCTCAATTTTGGGAGATTCTGGGCTCGATTCTGGGAGAAGGAANCGCCCTCGATCCTGCCTCAATCCTGGGCCTTCGATCGTGTTCCTCGATTCTGATCCTCGATCCTGGCTCTCGACCCTGGCCTTCGATCCTGGCTTCGATCGTGACTTCGATCCTGGCCCTCGACCCTGCCTTCGATCGTGGCTTCGATCCTGGGCTCGATCATGGCCCTCTTCAGGGCTCAATTTTGGGAGATTCTGGGCTCGATTCTGGGAGAAGGAATTTGCAGCAGAAGGAAATTGCAACAAGTATTTTAGTCCACTTTTTGATCCGTTAACCATCTGAAACCCACCCGATGCCCTCAAGACCTCAACCAAATATACCAACAAGTCCTAAAACATCATACGAACTTAGTCGAGTCTTCAAATCACATCCAACAATACTAAAAACACGAATCACACATAGATTCAAGCCTAATGAACTTTGAAACTTTTCATTTCTACAAACAACGCCGAAACCTATCAAATCACGTCATATTGACCTCAAAGTTTGCACACAAGTCATAAATGACATAACAGACCTATTAAAATTTCCAGAATCGGATTTCGACCCCGATATCAAAAAGTCAACCCCCCAGTCAAACTTCCCAAAAAATTTAACTTTCGGCATTTCAAGCCAAATTCCACTACGTACCTCCAAATAATTTTTCGAACACGCTCCTAAAGTCCAAAATCACCATACAGAGTTATTGGAATCATCAAAATTCAAATTCGAGGTCGTTTACACATAAATCCACATCCGATCAACTTTTCTAACTTAAAATTTTAAACTATGAGACGAAGTGTCTCATGTCACTCTGAATTCCTTCCGGACCCGAACCAACTAACCCGATAGGTCATAAATCAATTGTAAGGCATAAATTGAGCAGTAAATGGGGGAACGGGGTTATAATACTCAAAATGACTGGTCGGGTCGTTACATCGGGAGAAGATAATAATCTAAATTATCAAGATACTCAAGACCCAAATGATGACTTAGGAATAAATTATCAAGATTCTCAAGACTCAAATGATGACTTAGGAATAAATTATCAAGATGCTCAAGACCCAAATGATGATTCAAGAATGAGTTTTGATTCAATAGCTTTATATAATCTTGACACGTAGAAGTATATCATCATCATAATAGCAAGAATAAAACAAAGAAAAAGACAAAGATAGTGAGGAATCAAAAGAAAGACTCTTGCAAAGGTACAATAATGCAATAAAGATCCATCTTCTACAATAAATCAAGGACAATAATGCAAGACAGACTCTGAAAATTTCACGTGAACAAGAAAAAGGAAAGATTCTTCAAACAAAATGAAGTCCGGAAGTGAAGTCCTCAACACCTATAAATTGAGTGTTCTATGAAGACAGAAAACACAACTACAACAACCATCTGAAGAAAAACATACTCTCTTCACCATTCCCTTCACCTACACCAGAAAAACCATCCTCCACACCTCTCTTTTTAAAATATTTCACTATATATGCTTTAGTATTTTCTATCTCAAACATGTAAAATAAATAAAGATTTATGCTTTAGTGTGCAAGTTTTTAAGTCCAGTAAACTCTTTCGAGTTTACCGAAAGGGAAATCCCTCTCCTGTAAACATGTAAGTTACTGTTTTTATAAATTATATTTCTGTTTATTACCCCGATTTATTTAAAGCTTTTATATTATGTCTTATATCTTTAATTTCTTAGTTGCTAGTTTGTAAATAACTAAAAAAATCACTCTAAGTATATGGTTATCTTTCCAACTTCTTAATAACTCTGATGGATTAACCTATAAATTTCTAGGAGAGACCAGTTAAAATAAGCCCAAAATATTATCAGAAAGGTGTTAAAGTGGGCAAATATATTTAACTACGGCCATGGTGAGGTTTAAAAAAAAGTTGTGTTAAGAAAAAATTTATATCTTTAAAAGGTTGGAAAGAACAGATGAACAGAGTGAAAAAAATATATTTATATATATAGTCAGTCTACTTTGATAAATAGCAAACTTTACACATTTCAGGTAAATAACTTTATAATTTAGCATATGTATGAAAAGATCCTAATTTTTAATCCCAAATTGGCAAAAGTTGTTTATTATCTTTTGTCCTAAATTAATTTCCTGCTACATTATTTTATAGATAATTCTATGAATTTCCAAACTATTCTATTTTAGTGAAGAAATATCTCACAAACTACCAAATGGAGCTTAGTTTTGATTTTAAAAAAATATAAATCAATAAAACTAGTGGATGCGAAGAGAATCAAACTACTTTTGAAGTATGAAGTGTGTTTGTGGCTAAGAAATGTATGAACAAAAACATTTATGGCCATAGACATGTAACATCTGTGTCGTATAAAAGATTAAAAAACAGATAGTAGATACGTCGGTCCTACAAATCTAAAATTAAAATTCACATAATGTCCACAAATCTAAATAATTGTCGCACTTCAGCACCACTACTTTATCAAAGTCAATCTCACAAATTGCAAAAAAAAAAAAAAAAACAATATTTTTCAGTTGTATAATGGTGAAAGCAATAAATAATAAAGTAGATCAACGTGGATGAAAGCGACAAAATAATAACTTTCTAAGATGGTCAATTTACTTAGTTTTGGCATTAAATATAATTTTAAAAAAATACAACTTGCATCAGTTCCGCATATCAAGGGTCTAATATACATTTTCTTTACTATTGGGGACCCTTTTGTACAACTAAGAGAACAAGCAGTAGAGGACCACATATATGATCCATATTCAACTACTTTATATTTACATTTTTAGCAAACAAAGAGGATTACCCGAGGTGCACGCAAGCTGATTCGAATACCACCTATGCATGCAAGCTGATTCGGATATCACCGATGTACTAAGCTCCCGCTATGTGCGGGGTCTGGGGAAGGGCTTGACTACAGGGGTCTATTGTACGCAGTCTTACCCTACATTTCTACAAGAGGTTATTTCCACGGCTCAAACTCATGACCTTCTGGTCACATGGAGTCAACTTTACCGGTTACGCCAAAATATAAATGACAAATTTGTGTTCAGAAAGTAAACAGAGACTAGAAATGAAAACTATGTATAACTTTATTGTTAGCAACATTTAGCATTTCTGTCAAGTAGCAGAGAGCTCTACAATGGACACCAAACTCTGAATCTGAGCCTATTTTCTTCTCCATCACACTTAGAAAAAAAACCATAATTACATTTTAACTTCTAAAACCTGCAAAGCAAGCATCAAACTTGCTCCCTATCATTAACTTCTTATCAAAGCTGAAAACCTATGAAACTTGTTACATGTCGCGATTCTTTTTCTATGTAATTCTCTTATGATGTTCACCTAAAAAATGAAAACGAATAACTTCTCGCGCTTTCTGTAGGATCAGGTGTATTTGCAGGCAGTTGAGCAACTATTTAATAGTAACTGTTTTATGGAAATATTTAGGAAGAAAAGTACTTTTATGTGTCGAACCAACGAACTGCTTTCCAAAACTCAGTCCTCTTTAAACTCTATAATCCTTCTGTGTTTCTGAACCTAAATGACAGTTGAAATGCCATTCCTTATTGGAGATGCAAACGGGCTATCTGGAAGATTCAATCCTTGACCACTGCAACATCCCGAAGAACTGATTAAATAAGAACAAATATCGACAACAAACTCAAAATGATACAAAGCGCATACGACAACAATAAAGCGCAGCCCGATGCACTAAGCTCCCGCTATGCGTGGAATACGGGGAAGGCTGGACCACAAGGGTCTATTGTACGCAGCCTTACCCTGCAATTCTGCAAGAGGCTATATCCACAGCTCGAACTAGTGACCTCCTGGTCACAAAGAGCATACGACAACAACAACCTAGTGAAATTCCACAAGTGGGGTCTGGGGAGAGTAGTGTGTATGGCTGTACGCAGACCTTACCCCTTCCTTGGGAAGGTAGAGAGGCTGCTTCCTATAGACCCTCGGCTCAAGAAAATGATACAAAGAGCATAAAACTCAAAACGACAGTATCAAAATGTCTTACCCTTCTTGGTCACAGTGACTCATTTTAACGTGCCTAGCTTTGTCCTCGCTGGTGGAACCATTGTTATATACATCTAGCAGGTAATTAAAACTCTCGGCTGATGGGAACTCCAGTTTTTCGCTACGGCCTATACAGGAGGAAGCACGAAAAGCAAAGAAAAGAACAATGTCAGGTAAAGATGGATAGTCGAGGATCTTAGGGGAGGATATGCTTCAGAATTACATGTTAAAGAACCTTCTCTAAGCTTCAAATCCTCTACTGAGTAACCAAGGCGCATTTGATGATGCAAAGTTTTTGCAGCTAATTGCAACTCTGGAAAATGCTGCCTCTCAAACTCAATTGCACGCTCTTGTTCCTCCATGAGTTGTTTTTTCATTAGTCTTGAATTTTCACAGACTCTAGGTGCTAAAAAAACGATAAAAATTATTACTTCTATGACAAAATATAAGGTAGGTTTTGATTGTTTGAGTTGAAGTGCATCTTACAAGATTGGAGTTCGGATTCTGCGTCAATGAACGAGGAATTATAGTAGGAAGCTTGATAAGCTTTCTCGAGGCATTTTCTGCAGAGATAAGATAAAGATCATATCAAATGCAAATCTATACAAAAAGTTATACGCAATCCAATGAAAAGTTTTCACAAGACAATATATTTTGAAGCATCACTCAATCACGACATCAACAGTTGAGGGAAATGTGTAAACATTAATTTGATTTGTATGAAAGATGTTTGCTGAACAATATGCTAGGTGAGTTAAAATAAACAAATAAAATAGATTGGACAAGAATTAAGCCAATGCTCCTCAAGTATCTCAGTTGTCTGACAGATTATTATGATCATAATCTTCAACAACAACAACAACCCAGTAAAATCCCACTAATGGGGTCTGGGGAGGGTAGTGTGTACGCAGACCTTACCCCTACCCCGAAGAAGTAATCTTCAATAGAAGATAATATTGTTAGATAGGGAAACAAATGAGATTCCATTTAACCAACCACAGATCTGAAAATACAGGTTCACATATCAATGAGAGTATTCAAAGAGCCATCACTGCTAATATCAATACATTAAACTACAAACACAAAAGGCATTAGCAACGCAACATCATTGCATCCCAACATTCCACACACAATGTTAAGTAGGGTACATTGAAAATGAGGATCTTTGATCTATAATTAACAAATATGCAAATAAACTATTAGAAGCCTTCATAATAAAAGAAACCAGGAAATATACCTATCTACAAGCTTGGACTTTTCCCTGTAAGGTTTCACCAAAACACGTGCACCACAAACTAAATGAGGATTCCCCTTTGCCAGGATCTGCTTAACTGTCTCTGGGAAAACAAAAGTTACAAACCCAAACATTCTCTTCTGCTGACAAGGAATCCTAACATCTTGTACTGGTCCAAATTGACTGCATAAACATGAGAAGGCTCTAATAAGTTGTGAAGACGGAAAACAGCTACTAATCGTAGATGTCAATTCACTTGGAGTAACTTACTTGAAATAGTTGGAAACATCTTGCTCGCTGAAGGTACTCTCAGCCGGAAAGGTCAGATAAATCTGGCGAGAACCGGCTACAATTGCTCCGTGTTCATTTCTTTCGCCACTGTACTCCATATATTTTGGAACATCCTCAGCTAAAATAACGGCATGCTGTCCATGGGGCCTGTCTCAAATACAAACATTTATATCAAATAAAGTCTATGTCAAAGAACATAATCCACCAAAGGCGAGAACTATACAAGTTGGACCTGTCGATGACACGAATGCTATTTCTTAATCGAGCGAGGAGCTTAGTCAGGCTATATCCAGCTTTCCCATGTCTTTGACTTTCGGTCAAATAACCCTCAGCCTGAAGTGTCCTCCCATACTTCTCATAGTACAACATAGGCAACGAAGCAATTGAAACAGGAAGACCCCGTCTAGATTTGAGAAGCTCGGTAAGTTCCATCTCTATTTTCTCTAGAGATCCAGGCTTGAAGATATGTTCATCACTTCCCATTTCATTTAAGTTTGAGTTGAAGACTTGGGAGAAGCTTTCCGGATTTGGATGGCCGTGAAAGTACCGACAGTTGGTTCCATGCTTACAAAAGCCTTTGTTAAAATAATGGCAGACCTTAACAGGAAACTCGGGCAAGCTTGGAGACCTTCGACTCGATCTTGGGCCTAATGCAGATACAGAGAAATAGTGGTCGCCGGAGAATTCTGAATTAACATGGTCTGACTGATCATCTAAAGATAAGAACTGAAGTTGGTTTGGGAGTTGGCGTTCATCGGTCATAGTATCCGAGCAACCAACAGGTAGAAAATCCAAGGTATGAATTGGATGATTTTCGGCATGACCTTGAGGCTCCCAGTATGGATTTCCAACTTGAAGAGTCGAAAAGGGACGAGGTGAAGCTGATGAGAATGGAACAAAGTTCAAGGGAATGTCTGAAGATAATGCTCGATTGACTAAGGGGGGTGAAAGAGGACCAGAAATGGCTGGTTTGGATGATAATCCAAGATCTTTCTTAGCTTTATTAATCAAGGAATGGATCAAATTGTCGGGACTAAACGCTAATCTAATCATATCCTGTTCACCATGATCTTGTAAAAGGAGATAACCAATTATCTTAGACACATTTTCTGGCTCTAGTTTCTGAATTCGATTATATACAACTTTTGTAGACTCGGAAAAGTCCATGTTCATCTTCAACCTAAGAAATCAACATGAATGTTTGACTTAGACACAAAACCAAATACTTACAATACCATAAAACACAACTGCATTTCCAGCATATATATCAAAGAACAGTGGTTACTAATTGGAATGGAATCAGCATACATTTATATTTGGTTTTGAGATAAAAATCAAAATCATTAGATTCTTGAATAAAGGAGGGGCAGAATGAAGTAAAAATAAAAAATAAAAAATCTTTAAAATGAGATAAAAAAGGAAGACACAGCAGCCTACTTTATCTGACAGTACTTCATATAAACATTAACCTAGCCATAAATGGTAATGGCAATAATAAGCAATCATCAGTTTTACCAAAAGAGTCAAAACACTAAAAATTATGGAGATTCAAACTACTGGACAGCACTAATTTCTATGTTTGATATAGAAACTAACCTAAAACTAGAATTAAAGCAACAGAGACATAACCAGATTTTGAACATAAAAAAACTTTCTAGTATATAATAAAATCAAAATTTTAACAATTCTCTGAACACTGAAACACCAAAAGTTGTCTCATTTATTCATTGAAACAACATGAAAGACTTCAAACCGTTCCATAAAATAAAATAAAATAAAAACACAGAGAAGAATAAGTGACAGGAAATAAAATGAAAAGCCATTTTCAAGAACACAAAAATAAAAATACCTTTGAAGTGTCTGTGTAGAGTACAACACTGAAAAATAAAACCCAGTCAAAGCAACCAATCCATGCTCTCAATTCTCAAACTTCCTCTTGCTATTCTTTTGCTGACGGTTTCTTACTTGCTATTCTTTGCTTTAGACCCCCAAAACTTTTGGGGCCAAAAAATTTTGATTTCCTATGTTATTTTGGATTAAATAATATTAAATTCGTTAAAAAAACTACAAAAGTTTTATTAAGAAAGATACTAAGAAGATTGTCTATTTTTAACAATAAAAATATTTTGGAAATCTAAATTAAATTATTTAAATATCATATTAGTAATATTTTTTAGGACGAGATCGAAAGAAACATATTAAAAATACATGACTATCATCTTGTTAACTTGAATTAGCATTCACAATATATATTTAATACTATTAATAGCTATTATGAACTTATAAGTTTTATATCTTATAAAAGTATAACGTTATAAACAAAAATTACATAAAACAAATCTTTTATTTAAATTTAGTTTTAGGCTACTAATTTTATTGAGCCGTCATTAATTGTAACAACACTACTCTTTGTTTACTCTTTAAAAAAGAAAGACAAAAAATGATGAAAGGATAGACTTTAAATCAAAAAGCAAATTTTAAATACAGTATCATATACCCAAACAATAACCCCACATGAGTACTACTGATATATCATATTTAAATATTCAGGAAAAAATAAAAAAAGGTCATTGAATCATGATCAGTCTTTAATACTGATAGGAAAAGTGGATAAGATAAACTTGTACACAATTTTTTAAAATTATTTCATTTACAGGTTGTATTGTCGTTATAAAAAAATACAGTCATTTAATAAGAAATGTGTCTGGGTTTTCTAATTTAACTAGAATGTTTACCAGCTTATAAAATGGTATAAATACGCCTCATCCGTTAGTTAGTTTTTTAATATGTCTATGTGGCTAAGCCTTACCCAAATTCGATTTAAATTTTAAAAAATATAATATGTTGGCTTACGTGTATATGGCATAACATAACTTGAATGTTTGGGTCCATTGGTAATGCCATGTGATATTATTCAGTCGTGTTGATGATCTAGGTTGAAATAACTTTACTTCTAATTATTGTCCTTTTGCTGTTAAATGGGTTGGAAAAAAGAAGTAGATGAAAATATTTGTTGTTTACAATAAGTATTTTCTTATCTCATTGAAAAATGTTTGTTTAAAATATAGAAAGAAGTAATTAAAATGTGAGATAAAATTTTACTTCAAAGTAATGTTGGTTACGGTAAAACAAAAGGAAATGAGAATATATAATATTTATTGTACATTTATCTTCTCGTTTATTGAAAAATAAGTAATTATTAAGAAAGTAAGAAAAAAGATTGTAATTAAGAAGTAAAAACGTGTTATCATTTTTTCGAATATAATGGTATTAATGACTTTTTCAATAAGATGTGATTTTTTCATTTTTACTACCCTTTTCATACAAAATAAAACTTTTTTCATTTCAGAAAGAAGTTTTTTTTCTTCTTCGTTTTGGATAAATTAGATGAAAAAAATACTTTAAATTAAGGAATTAATGAAATTGTGAATTTTGTTCCCTATTATTTATTATGAAATTTACAAAGCAGCTATTATTGGTATCCTCTTCTTTTTTTTTGGCTAAAGAAACCAATTTTGTTTTTGTTCAAAATATGATTGTTTTACTTGAAATTAATGTTTACTTAAATGGGGCCCATAGTTTGAGGTTGTATGATAAATGGCAAGCATGCAATCAATTTCTTCTCATTAAAAATGTAGGAATTTGCATGTGTGGCACTTGTCAAATTCATCTCACAAATGTGACAGTATTTGGATTTTGGATAGTTTAGGCCAAAGTACAGATAGGAAAAAAAATCCCAACAGAAAGTCTCCTCCACACATGTTCAGAAGTAGGGCCCACATGTTTCTTACTCAGTATCTACCTGGCAGTTTGTGGGGTCCATCCGATCTGTGTTTGTAGATTGGAAATTGGAGAGGGAAATTTGGTTTAATTTTTGAAAAAAGGATTGCCGTGTTATTTGAGAAAGGTCAAAAAGCCAAATATACCCCTTTATTTTTATATATTATTCATATTTACCCTTTATTATACTATCGGGTCAAATTTATCCTCTTCGTTAACAAAGTTTTTAAATTTATCCTCTAACCTAACGAAAAGCCCCAAATCCCTTCTATTTACTGTAATTCTTCTCACAAATCAGTCATCTCCTTCGTGTGATCCACCAGAGAAGAAAAAAGGTCCATATTAAATGAAAGTGTGGAGTTACAGTATAATTATTCCCCTTGTCTTTGGTTATGCTCAAACCATAAATGAAATGCAGAATTCATAGTTTATGGATATGTCTCCAACGGAATGAGGATGTGTGAAATACCGCAGATAATTTGGAAGAGATTTATTTGACTCTTCAGGTGGTCGAAATGCATTCGCTTATGAAGTTGTTACTAATATTTACTATTTTTTATGGACAACAGGCATAACAAGGCCGTAAGTATCCATATAAATACATTCCCTTTCGGATTTAGATTTAGCATGTCATTTGATGCAAATTTTATTTGCGCAAGCACTTCTACATGAAATTTGTGACATATGATTCTTTAGTATTGTTTGAAAAATCCTAAATTAAATGATCTGTTTAAATTATGTCCAACTTCAGAACATTCTTTCAAAGGAATACTTACTAGTGCTCTCATGCGTGAAGGTGGCGAATTTGTTAAGACTTCCTACTCTAAATAATCAAGTGGAATAAGAAATCAACTTGTCGAGAATATTTTCTTATCTGGTAGAGCATACGCAGGGATAAGTAATTTGTAAGAAAAAATTATAATAAATAGAAGAAATTTGGGATTTGGGGACTTTCATTAGATTAGATGGTAAATTTGAAAACTTTGCTAATGGTGAGGGTAGATTTGACCTGATATTATAATAGAGGGTAAATATGAACAGTATATCAAAATAGAGGGGTATATTTGACCATTTTTCCTGTTTGAAATTGAGCAATTTTATTCTCCATCTTCGTTATACTTTTGATCTAATATTACCTTCGAAGAAATTTTTTTATATTGCTAGTGATCCTTAACGTAACTCTAATTTGATAATAATTGTAAAACATAGTAAAAAGTTAAAGGGTAAATTTAGATCTTTTTCTCAAAAAATTTGAGCACAAGAGTCAAAGGGAAGACTAGTGAAGCTTTGCTTTAGGCCCCAAAATTTTGAGATCCCAAAAGGTATATTTGTAGAAAAGTTGTAGAAAGAAATACAAAAAATAAAAGACTGTCCACCTTTTAGCAATAGAAATATTTTTAAACTTGAATTAAACTAACCAAATCTTCAAATTAGTATATAAAATTTCTTTTACAACAAGATCCAAGATAATACATTGAAAACACATGACTAGAATTTTATTAACTTAAATTAACTATTATTAATATAAATAATAATAATTTATATAAAGTTAAAAAAATTGTGTCTTGTAAGAATACTATGCTACAAATTACATAAAAACACTAGATTTTTTATACTGTATGTGTTTATTGGAAAAGTTTATGTTCTCTTATTAAAATTTGGTTATAGGCTACTAATTTGATGGAGCTTATTACTATCCAATTCATGTTCTTCTAGCGAGAAAGACCACCACCATTGATACATTAATGGCGGACATCTAGTATATTGAGCTCACGTTAGGATTCATTAAAAATAAAGACAAATACGAGTACTAATAATAAGTATATAAATGAAAAAAAATGTAATAAATTACAAAATTAAATAGTTTCGAATAATACATGACAAAATAAAAAAAAATCCTTTAATTTCTTAAGGCCAATGGAGTAAATGAGAAGTTTCTTTTTCTTTTTTCATGAAAGAGAAATTAGTTTTCAGTTTTTTCCTAAGTAAAAGAAGAGTTACTGATCAAATGGGAATTTGTGACATTGTAGCGGCGAGAGAATAGGTATCACTTTGTTGAATAAGTCAACATTCATAAAAAGAAATTCCTTTTTTTCAAAAAAAAAAATCAAAAATATGTTTGTCCATGAAATTTTATAATTTTTTGGAAAATGAGTTTTTCAATAACCAAAAAAATAATTTTGACCACTTTTTCAAAATTTTCAGAATTATTTTTCCCCACTCACAAAACTACAATATTTTTTCAAGTGAAATACATGAACAAACATAATTTCAAATTTCAAATATTATTTTTTAACTTAACTTCAAATACTATTTTTTTTCAAAATATAATTTTTATGTCCAAACGCCTACTAAGCTGAGCTAAATGTGATAGAATTCTTTTTCTTTTCTCCCCCAAATATGACAAATTTCCATACGAGAAGGTAGGAACTACCCGCCAATGTTTCTTACTAGATTTCAAGATTTTTGTTTCTTTTTATCATTCCAATTTTACCAAATGTACTTGAAGGACGAGTTAAAGAATTTCTAGTAAGTTATTTGATAAACTTTTAGTAATACTCAAGATAATTGATTGATTCGTAATTATTTATGTAAGACTAATAAAATAGTTGAGCAATTCGTAATTATAAATGTACATCGATTCGGAAAAAAAAATGTATGATTACTTCTCACAATGTGAAAATTGTGGTGTACAAAAGATACTCATGCAAATTAAAGTTTAAACTGGATGTTGAATTTAATTAACAATCACCACTAATGAAGGTGGAGAAATGATTGAACTCTCTTCATCGTTAATCAAATATCTAAGTTTTAGTTTTGGAATCTCTTATCCCCTAATGCCCGTACGTCTGACGCAAATCTGGATTAGTACGGCCGTTGTGGCTTGAAAAATCAAATGATTTGACATTTGCCATCTTATAATTTCTCACTAGATAGTGTAATGCTCCAAATAGTTAAGTGAGATGATAATCGTAATTCACCCCACCTATAATAACTTTTTTAGTCCATTTTTACTTTTATAAATATCAGCGCATACCACCCTAGAAAATAGCTCTAATTAATTACTTTCAACTCTACGGTTAAAAAGATTTGGTTTTTATTCTACCCTAAACAAATAGTTTTAGCTAATGCACAATCCCATTTTTTAGGGGATGAGTCCTTTAATATATACACACCAGCTTTTTACCTTTTACCTTTTACCTCTCCCCTCTATCCTCCCCCCCCCCCCCCAACCCCCCAAAGATCTCTCCCTCTCTTCATAATTTTAATAGATTTGGGATTT